GGTGTGCAGTAGAGGAAAGAGAGAGGTATTTTGGTACCCAGAGCATCCTTTTGTCCCAGGCACTGTCTTTTGTTGGACTTCCAGTTGCAGCTGCAGCTACAGCTCCTCCTCCCAGGCAGCCCCCGCTTGGTTAGCCATGTTTTGTACCCTCCTGTCGCTTGCAGGGAGCTACTGGTGCTAGCACAAGAGGGGACTACAGCTTTGTAGCGGCCAGCAGCAGTTGGAGTTTATGGGATCTTTAGGTGGCAAATCATACCTTGCATTTTATTGACTAGTTCTGTCTAGTGCAGCAGCTTTGGGCTACGGTGCATCCCCCGGGTTACTCCACATGGTAATAATAGCATGTGCTCTATCTTGTACATGTTAATTTTAAATTATGTTTACACAGTGCATGAATGTGAATCAATTGAAGCTTGACATTCCTATTTCAGGGTAGAAATAGCTAGTCAATATGAGCTGATATTATTGATTGGGCTATTTGCGTGTCTGTTATGCAAACCATACAGGTAATGAATGTCAATATACAAGAGTCTGCTGAAATGTTTTATAGTCAAAAGCATGGAGAGTTCGCTGAACATGGAAGGCAGTCTCCCATGTTGGAAAGCAGCTGCCAATATTTTGGTACAATAGATTCATCTGTAATCTAAAGTATATATAAAAAACGAAATGTGAAATACTCTGTCTTAAAGGGAAAACATGAACATACGTTTCACAGTACACTTCTGACATGTGGTGTCTCACACTCCAGAGCGACTTTTTTTTCAACATCAGATGCAGAGCTGGTGTTACAGCTATGGAGTTCCCAGGCAGAAGCAGAGGCACGGTGGAGTCTCTCTTCTCGCTGTACTCTACCGTCTCACACTGCTACCTCCTTCGACTTTGGCAGGCCTTCTCCTGCCCTGTCCTCAGTGTTCTGAGATCCCAACCTGTTGTTCTGGTTCTTGCCTTTAAAACTTGTTCCAATCAGGTGCGTGTTCCGAGGAGACAATTAGGATTGAATAGCAATTAGGAATGGATAGTATGTCATTGTTGCAAATCAGGATTACTAAGCATCCACACCACCTTAATCACAGTATTTGTAAAAGAAGAGACCAAATCTACGGCTGGTAGGGAAAAATTAAGATTACTCATGAGCCAGTGCTTAGCTTTATAACACGGTGCCTGCAGCAGTGGTGGGGTACAGCTGGGCTGTCTTGGGAGCAGACCAGGGACGGAGCTGTGCCTGTGGAAGCTGTCGTACGGCTCCATGCTCCCCAAGAGATGACAGAGAAGGATGAGTCGGTGCTCCTTTACTAATGGCGGATTGACTGTGCTGGCTGGAGTGCTGGGGATGACTGCAGCACAGGCACTATGTCTGTTGTTTGTCACTAATAAAACCCTCTGTTTTGCTTCTCTTATTCCCCCGGTCCATGAATAGGTCTACACATGCCCCGAGCAGACGTGAGCTTACTTCACTGATGCTTTAGCCTTACTGGAAGCTACATAGCCGTGATAATGTGTTGCCAACCTACAGCAACAAAAGAATTAGATTCTCAGCAAGGCTTATTAGCTTTATGCAAGCATGGCCATCTAGCTTCCTTTCAGGGCTCACCTGCTTCTAGCTAACTCCAAGTGTGGGCAGAATAAGACAACGAGAGGACAGAAAATGCCATGTAGATATAACTGAGTTCCTCATGGTTTTTAAAAATATGATGTTCTTTTAACACTTCAATTTGAGAGTGAGTGATTAAGTTAAAAGGGAGCAAACTGATGAATCAACTCTCCCTGTTTAGAATGGGATTCCTCCTAGAAAAGCTGCTTGGTGTATATTTTAGGGTTCCTCATATGAAAACACTCATCCACATGCTGTCATTTTTTCTGAATCTACTATGGCATTTTATGGTCTTGAGATGAACTTCCCATTGCTTGCAAATAGAGAGGTTAATATGGTTCCAGGCACAGGGCAGCAGGAGACTGATTTTTTTTCTTGATGTCAGTATAGGAAGAATAATAATGGAGTGCTATACACACACTAAGCTACATAGTGTAGCCGTAGCTCAGTTTACAGTGGAAAATAATAACTACCTGCTTGGGAGCACAAAGCTTTTGCCTCCATCCACAAGGGGACGGAACCTTGTCCCCGTGAAGCACAGCTGGGGTTGCTGACATCTGGGCTACCAGCATTTATTTTTGTCTCTCGCTAAATGAATGAAGTTAGAATTGCAGAACGGTGGTGTGAATATCTAAATTCATAGACACGAACACTAATATTGTTCCACATTGCCTACCTTGGTTGTTAATCCTTTCTGGAGGATTAAGGAATAGACATTCTGATTTTTATTCAATGTGCTATGATGAACCTGAAGAATACTGAAGAAATTTTGAATTATTCCTTGGCACTACTTCTTCTAACTGAATCACAATAATTTTACTTTTAAAATCTGAACTCCACTTTTTTTCTACTTTCAGTCTGTCTCACAAATACCATTCATTTGACCTACACTATGGCTTTCTGGAAAGGTCTTATTGTAGAATTATTAAATATAAATACCTTTACCTTATCGGGCTTATCAATATACAAGGGTTTTGGAGGGGGAGTTTTTTATGTTTCTTGAAGGAAAAGGAATTACTGTTTTTAATGTTGGATAGTTTCCTCAAGTTTAGGCGTAAGTTTATTGTTTTTAGAGTGAGGTGGTACTCCAGTTAGGGGCAGTCTGTTACAGTGACTAGTTACCCTATATCAAATGCATTCCTGTGTTTACCACAGCCAAAGACTTTTTACCTGCATGTAAAAACAATTTTGTCTGAAGTGGCTGCTCTTGAAAGGCATTGGCTGCTTCAACGAAATACTACCATTAGATAGCCCATGCTGACTACAGCAGTCTGGGGTATTTTCTCTTTCCAAGAGGTAGCGCTCTGAATACTTTAGATGACATTCCATTAGAAAGCGGTATTAAGTTTTGAGCTACAACTTTCTCAAAGCACTAAAATGATAAGGAAGTTGCTAGTAACGTTTTTCTAATGCTTCCTCTTTCTCTTTCTCTCTTTCTCTTTCTCTCTCCCTCTCTCTCTTTCGCTTTCGCTTTCGCTTTCGCTTTCTCTTTCGCTTTCTCCTTCGCTTTCTCTCTTTCTCCTTCGCTTTCTCTCCTTCTCCTCCTTCTCCTTCTCCTTCTCCTTCGCTTTCTCCTTCGCTTTCTCTCTTTCTCTCTTTCTACTTCACTTTCTCTCCTTCTCCTTCTCCTTCTCCTTCTCCTTCTCCTCCTCCTCCTCCTTCTCTTTCTTTTGTGACCTGGCTTTGCAGGTGACAATTTGGAAGACTATATTTGTGTGTTTCAGGTCATTCTGCATTTATCATGCAGTGTGATGTCACCCAAGAATCTAACATTAGACAGAAAAAAGGTGGCCAATGGCCTTTGGTGTAAAAAAATGGTAATTAGTAGGTTAAATTAAGTCTTCTATGCATCTGTTCCTTCACTGGACCGACAGGAATATTCTACAAAGTTAACTTACTTGGATGGAAATCTCTTTGGGAAAGGGATTATAAGAAGTCACACAGTCTCACTACGTCTAAATTCAGAGGGGGAGCCTCTTATTTTTTATTGTTTGGAGGTATATGAATGTATATAATTAATGTGCCTATACTTTGTAGGAGAGTCAGAGCTGCAGTTATATAATGAATAGGTTAGAGGAGAGGAAAACTGTATTTCCACCAATCCTGCTACTTGGGTATTCAAGGAAGATGAGCTACGTTCTTCAAACTGGCAGTTCCCCAAGAGTCAGAACTCCGAGCTCTGAACAGAAGAAACAGTCTTAGATTTTTGTATGGCGTATTCATGTGTTTAACTCATCTCTGTCATGTTTATCTCGTGCAGATTGCGTTGCAGGCAGTCGCTGCTCACGTATGTGTTGCTTTTCTCCCCCATTATGTATGCAATGTGTGCATGAGCAGAGTTTTGCAGAACAGGTGGGAATGACACAGCCATGTGTTGCAAGTATATTCATAGACTACGGAGCCAAGAGGGAGGGCTGCAACAGCCTAATCTGACTTCTTATATAATGCTGTTCTGTATGTGCATATAATAGTTGCAGAAGAAAAATCCCATTTTGATTTAAACATTTTTTTTCTTTAGCTATGTTAATCAGCAGTCCTCAATACTGAGGGCTTGTTTCTTCTGCAATAATAAACAGTTTAACTGTTGAAGCAGGGGGTTACTGGTGGGGTGTTGAATTTTAAAAAATGCCCACCCCATCAGTGACTGGATTCCTCTCCAGGCCCATGCATGTGCCATTGACCACTTGCTCCTCATAGTCTGTGCAGTTGAAAGTCTTTCCTTCAAACTTCTTGCCATTTTGTTTTCATTTTCTTCAGCTCTCTTGTAACAGGCCTCTTAGATTTTACCTACTGTCACATTTTCTTTCACCCTCTGAGCTGACGATCCAGTCTTTATTCCTCCAACGATTTGGCTTCTGCTTCTAATTTTCAGCTGTAATTCTATTTCCTTTCACTCTGTTCTTTGTATCCAACCTCTATTTTTCCCCCCAGCCTTAGTTCTGTACATCAAAGGAAGAAAAAATTGCCTTCCATATCTGTCTTTAAATAGTGCATAGCTTTGTCCATTTTCAGGTGGTTCCCTCGTTCAGTGATGTAGTTTAATCACTCTTTTCTCGCCATCATTTCTAATTCCTCTTCTTATAATGACTTTTCTTGCATTTTCAGACAAGCATTTTAGGATCCAGCCTTGCAGATGATCCCGAAGGTAAGATGGACCATCAACACCAAGCCCGTAGGAAGTATTTTGCTGAAGGAGCCAATGCCTTTCAAGTGCAGTCGCTTCAGACAAAAATTGTTTTTACATGCAGATAAAAAGGAACTTGGTTAACTGCCTTCTGAGATGGAAGATGGGGATAATGAGTGGAATGAACCCCCCATAATCCAGGAGGAAGCAGTCTTTGACCTGCTATGCCACCTGGATATCCACAAGTCTATGGGACCGGATGGGATCCACCTTCTTTTGTGACCTGGCTTTGCAGGTGACAATTTGGAAGACTATATTTGTGTGTTTCAGGTCATTCTGCATTTATCATGCAGTGTGATGTCACCCAAGAATCTAACATTAGACAGAAAAAAGGTGGCCAATGGCCTTTGGTGTAAAAAAATGGTAATTAGTAGGTTAAATTCAGTCTTCTATGCATCTGTTCCTTCACTGGACCGACAGGAATATTCTACAAAGTTAACTTACTTGGATGGAAATCTCTTTGGGAAAGGGATTATAAGAAGTCACACAGTCTCACTACGTCTAAATTCAGAGGGGGAGCCTCTTATTTTTTATTGTTTGGAGGTATATGAATGTATATAATTAATGTGCCTATACTTTGTAGGAGAGTCAGAGCTGCAGTTATATAATGAATAGGTTAGAGGAGAGGAAAACTGTATTTCCACCAATCCTGCTACTTGGGTATTCAAGGAAGATGAGCTACGTTCTTCAAACTGGCAGTTCCCCAAGAGTCAGAACTCCGAGCTCTGAACAGAAGAAACAGTCTTAGATTTTTGTATGGCGTATTCATGTGTTTAACTCATCTCTGTCATGTTTATCTCGTGCAGATTGCGTTGCAGGCAGTCGCTGCTCACGTATGTGTTGCTTTTCTCCCCCATTATGTATGCAATGTGTGCATGAGCAGAGTTTTGCAGAACAGGTGGGAATGACACAGCCATGTGTTGCAAGTATATTCATAGACTACGGAGCCAAGAGGGAGGGCTGCAACAGCCTAATCTGACTTCTTATATAATGCTGTTCTGTATGTGCATATAATAGTTGCAGAAGAAAAATCCCATTTTGATTTAAACATTTTTTTTCTTTAGCTATGTTAATCAGCAGTCCTCAATACTGAGGGCTTGTTTCTTCTGCAATAATAAACAGTTTAACTGTTGAAGCAGGGGGTTACTGGTGGGGTGTTGAATTTTAAAAAATGCCCACCCCATCAGTGACTGGATTCCTCTCCAGGCCCATGCATGTGCCATTGACCACTTGCTCCTCATAGTCTGTGCAGTTGAAAGTCTTTCCTTCAAACTTCTTGCCATTTTGTTTTCATTTTCTTCAGCTCTCTTGTAACAGGCCTCTTAGATTTTACCTACTGTCACATTTTCTTTCACCCTCTGAGCTGACGATCCAGTCTTTATTCCTCCAACGATTTGGCTTCTGCTTCTAATTTTCAGCTGTAATTCTATTTCCTTTCACTCTGTTCTTTGTATCCAACCTCTATTTTTCCCCCCAGCCTTAGTTCTGTACATCAAAGGAAGAAAAAATTGCCTTCCATATCTGTCTTTAAATAGTGCATAGCTTTGTCCATTTTCAGGTGGTTCCCTCGTTCAGTGATGTAGTTTAATCACTCTTTTCTCGCCATCATTTCTAATTCCTCTTCTTATAATGACTTTTCTTGCATTTTCAGACAAGCATTTTAGGATCCAGCCTTGCAGATGATCCCGAAGGTAAGATGGACCATCAACACCAAGCCCGTAGGAAGTATTTTGCTGAAGGAGCCAATGCCTTTCAAGTGCAGTCGCTTCAGACAAAAATTGTTTTTACATGCAGATAAAAAGGAACTTGGTTAACTGCCTCGCTAGCTAATTCTTCCTCTAGCAAGTCTGGGAGGGCAGACTGCCCCATCTGGCTTTGTCATCTCTCTTTCTCTCCCACTTTCTGTATTCCTGAATGTACTGATGTAAATATTTCCCCAACCGATTTCTGCTTTTCAGCACTACCTGGTTTTCCCCCAGTTGTTAAGATGGAGACTGCCCTGGTTTTCAGAGTCCAGTAGGCAAATCCTGTCCTGGAGCTCTCCTTCAGGTCCAGTTCTCGGGGGTGTTGTGCAATCAGTATTCTGAAAGAAATTACTTCACTTTTCTTGATCTTTAAAATTTTCTTTCTTCCTCTGCACTCATGCAGGAGAGACAAGCCTATTCAACACCATGAACTGGTAAACCTCCACTGCTTTGGCTTGCTACAGGTTGTGGAGAGTTTAGAACATATTCAAAATTTCTCCTACAAGACACTCAAAACAAGCAGTAATGTGTGTCAAAAAAAAAGGGGCTTTTCTTGCGACTGTTCTTTCTTGCCTCCTAAGCAATGCAGAGTGTGAGTCTTGTCACATAGTTGTTTCTCCCCTAGAAGATGCTAAGAAAACAGCCTGCACTCTGGATATGTTTGTGGATGAGTATCCCGAAACCTTTCTGGTACGAGGGAGCTGGGGCCAGCCACTAGAAGGCAACGTGATCCCACAAACAGCCAAAGGTAATATCCCCTCCGAGCTGCTTAATCTGAAACCTGCTCTTCTGCTCAATAAAGTCACTTTTGTCACTTGTACGTGTGATTAGCAGGGGATCCGTTCAACATTCAGCATTTTACTGGGGCAGTGATTGCAGCACCGTGGCGTTTGAAAGGCAGAGCGTGAGAAGGGACGGTGGTCACTGCTGGCACGCGGGCATTTCAGTCTTGCGCTTTAACAGCATTTACTGTATTTATCAGCTATGTTTGCAAAGCAGGCTGACGGCAATTTATTGGAAAATAGTTAAATGCAAATAATAGTCCCTCGATAATCATTAATGGTTTCTTAGCTCTGTGTGACTGTGTGAAGGGGATTTGCTGTGCCAGCTTGCCTTTGTGGACTGTTAGGAGTAAATAACTTGTCCCTGTCAGGAATTTCATGCTGCCAAAGCATAGTTAATATAGCCCTATGTCTGGGTGGATGTACAACTACAAAATAGATGCAGCGCTCCTGTTTCACCTTTTCCTTTCCATCCCTCTTGTAGCTGAGAGACCCAACAGATGGTCCTTTCTGTGTCTGTGTGTTAAAACTGTAGTGTAAAAGCTGCCGCTGAGTATTTCCTGCCTTTTAATTTTCAAGAAAACATGTAAATGAAGGAAATCCTGCTCTACAGATTGAAAGAACAGAGCCCAATTAGCATGGCGCTCTGCTCTCGGAGTGCTGCCCCAAACTAGGTCCCATGCAGCTTTTTAAATGGAACTCCTTGATCTTTTGTAACCTGTTGGGGTTGGGTTTTTTTTTTTTTTTGGGGGGGGGGGAGAGGTGTTTATTTTGTTTGCTTTTTTTCCCTAGCATTCACCTGGAATTCCACTCTCTTTGCTGTAATCCATTTGGCTCGTACAGCAGCTTTTGTCTTACGGGTGAATTACAAGGACATTTACACTTATTCCTTTTTACTCCCTTGTGCTTCACCTGCAGGTTCTGCAGGCACCTGCCACTGGCCGGAGGCTGGGAGAGATGCCACAGTGTCCTTCAGAGCACGTCTTGTTCAACAGCACGAAGGGGAGGGAAAACAAAAAACCAGAGGGGAAATACCCTGGCAGCAGGTAAGTAACTCCTCTTCCCACCTATTCCTCCTGATCTGGTAAGTTTGTGGATCCACATAAGTGTATGTGCTGTAGAATCTAATGAGATGCCAAGATTTAATCAAACCCAATAGAAAGGGGAATGATAAAATAATAATTTATGGCTTTGAGAGTGCAACCTCACCTGTTACAACTCAGGATATGTAGTTCTCTCGTCTTTGCTGGCTATGCCTAACAAAAATCTGGCTTCTTGCACAGCTTCACTCCTTGCAGAATAAAAAGCCCTGCCCTGCACCAAACCTTTGGATCCTCAGAAACAACTCAGAATTGTTCTGTACTGTATCAAAGAGCTCTACGAGGGACAAGCATGTGGCTATCATGCCATAGTCATTTTTTCCCGTTACCATTGCGCCTGTATGTCTGGGGAGCGGGGGGGACAATTTGTGTGTGTGTGTGTGTATGACAAGAATCATCCATAAACCAGAAATCTAATTAGGGAGATTTTCATGTCTCCCAGCTCAGTAAAATACTCTTGAGAGAAGGACAGGGCAAACCTCCACAGCCGAAGGACAAATCAATACTGATAGACTCCTCCTAATCCCCGAGGCTGTTGTTGAGGGGGGAAGGCAGGGTTACCTGCACGCCCGCTGGCTGGGAGCCGGGTCAGGGTTTTGCTCAGGCAGGTGCAGAACCTGTTGTTTATTTAACAAGGTTGGTGGCAGCTGCTGCTACTGCGTCGGAGCAATTAAAAAGTGTGTTGTGCGGCAGGAGGTTGCCAGGTGCTGGCTGTCCTATATGCTATGACAAGCAGGGCAAAATTTCATATAAACACCTGCCAGCATCCCAGGCAAACCTGTACTAACGGGCTATTATGTACCTGCCATTAAGCCATTTGTGGGTTTAGCTGACAGCAACATGTGCGCGCCAGCTATCGCAGCAAGGGCCTGAAGAGATAAGATATGCCAGTGTTCCCTTACCTCCCACAGATGCAAGGCCAGGATGTTTGAGAAACACCAGCAACCGCTCCAGACTTTACCCTCTCAAACACACGGGGCCCGGTCTGTAAGTGGGGGGAACTGGTGCCGCGCTGCTGACGGCAGGAGAAAGGTACGATGCACGTGGCAAAGCTGTAACATGGACCAGGCCTGCCAACCACAGCCCAATTTTTCAGGGCAGGGCTGTTTTTCCCCTGGGAACCTGGGTTTTGGGTGGGCTTTCTTGCCTCCACATACATGGCAGGTAGGCTTACAGGTTAGCCAATTCACTGGTTTGCAAGTGCATGTGTGATCTCTGCTCCGTTAACTGGGATTGGTACAGTTAGTGTCACCAGTCGCAGACGTCCCCCTGAAAGGAACAGATGCTACTACTGAAAAAAAAAATCAGATCTCTGAAATATTTAAAAGCATATTTTACCACGATTAATACCCTTCTGAGAATGCGTATGATGAATAGTGCTTCTGTTACTTCGGTGCATGAGAGACCCAGATATTCTGCTGCCGTCATCCTCGGAGAGCATAACTCAGGGAAAGACGCCAAAAAAA